GTGTGTGTGTGTGTGTGTGTGTGTGTGTGTGTGTGTTCGCTCCTGCCCCCAGGCCATCTCAGCGGCCGCCCGTGCCCTGAGAGAGACCAACATGGAACTAAACCCAGAGGTGGACGGGACCATCATCAAGGTGCCTGTTCCCAAGTGAGTCCCCTCTCTCACACAAACAMGCCTGAGGCCAGAAAAACAAAAAGACTTTCCTCCATTTTGCACTTTCCTTCGTTTCCATCATCTCTTTTGTTTTTCTTCTGTCGTTTCTCACTTCTTCCCCCCGCTTCTTATATTTACTTTAACTTCTGCTGGTCAGGAGACAATTTCATGTTCTTTTAAGTCAAATGCTTAAATACATAAACCATGCCATTTTAACATATCCCAACTAAAAAAAAAAAGACCACCTGTTGTCTTTTTTATCAGAGGCCTAAACTAAAATAACCTGATATTGAGAAAAGAGAACATTCTAATCGTATTAATCAAGCTTTTAAAACTCATATTTTTGTGTATTGGCGTGTAGTATTTATAGGATGTCACTCTCACATGACTCTCAGCTGCTACCACATCAAATTTTCGCTCAATATCAGCAAAACTGACTGTTTTTATGTTTTCTAAATTCAGTTTGCTGTAGCAGCCATGTTGAATTGAGTTGGCTCCAAAACCTAATCAGTTGTACGTGTATATCTAATTATTAGTTCCTGAAAAGTTCAATGAAATCCACCCTGCAGTTTGTGAGATATTTTGCTAACAGTCGGAAATGCAGCACTGACTCCGAGTTTGTCATCCTGTTTGTGCTYAGAATACCATACCAATTTTATTTATAAAGCASATAAACAACCATAGGACCAAAGTGCTGTACATTCACAGTCAATAAAACACACAACAGTCTCAGTACTTAATAAAAGCCAAATCCAAAGATTAAAACTATATAATAAAACAAACACTTAAAACAAGTTAAAATAATCTCAAAACAAACTAAAAATCAACATCTCAGATGGATCCAGAAGCCAAAGAGAAGAGATGTGGCCTGTCTGATGCCCAAATGTTCCACATTTTTAGGAGCAGCAGTGGAGAAGGTACGATCCCCTCTAAGCTTAACGTTTCGTTTTTGGGGTTCTCAGGAGCAGCTGGTCTGCTATTAMGCTTGTCCTTGAAAGTGTTTTTTTGGGGATTGAAATTCTCTATTAACACGATTGATGTTCATCATCTTTTAAAAAAATAAATTATAAAATTAAATGAAAAAAACTAAATTTGTTGCGGTGGATAACTCAGGATTACAGTAAACTGACGTCATTGTTTCTGACTCAACAACTTCTGTGTTGTTCAGTTTTTCATTGAATTTACATGACATTAAACCTGTTTATTGGTAACATTCTGCGGTAGCAGTGTGGTTCTTGAATTTGAGGAAATTGGTACTGGAAAGTTCTTGAAAGGTCCTGGAATTTTATGTTGACCAAAGTGTGGGAACCCTGTCAGAATGTGTGTTAGGGTTCAGTCTCAGCTACTACCACGCTAATTTTCAGGTCTGAGTTGTAGTCGTTTGTGTGTTTTCTAAAGTCAGCTGGCTGTGGCAGTCAAAGACTTATCCAGAGGTTACACACAAACACAAACACACATTATCATCCACCTTAGCAGTGGGCAACAAATATTCAACCCATTAAGTAAATTAGCATAGCTGAAAGTCACAGTAGATCTCAGTCATAATTTTAGGTTTTTGAGTGTTTTTGCGTTTTACTGTAACTGACAGGTTTATTGACTTTTCTCATAAAGTTATAGAGACCCTCACAGTGTTGATGTGAGCGTCGGGTCAGTCTCTCTTTTTCTTCCTCCTGAGTAAATCTGTCTCACTCGTTCTCTTTGTCTTTCGGCCAAATCAAACAACCTCACGCAAAACAATCCGTCACTCACTCAACAAGCTGCTCTCAGTGTATAAAGAGTATGTTTTTCTTTTTTTTTACATATACACAATGTGAGTCTACGTGCGTTTCTGCCACTCTCTGTTTACGTGCACGTGTGTGGGTTTTTGTGTGTGTGCGCGGAGCAGCAGGTGTTAGTCTGGCAGAGGAAGGACACAAGAGTCAGACTGCTTTCCCCCTGCAATCAGTCTCGGCACGCTCCGAGCCTCCATTTGCATTTCCAAAGAGAGGGCGCTCCTTGATTGGCCCTGGAATCGGTAATTAGGCCGTATTGTTTGCAGTAAATAGACGCAGCACTTGGATTGTTTGCAAATTGTTCCTGGAGCAAAAACAAGGCGAAAAAGCCAATTAAGAGCAAAAAAAAAAAGATAGAGTGAAACGAGAAGTGGGACTTATTTTCTGGAAAACAAATGCAAAGTGGATGCAAACTTGTTGGGATGACAGAATTTGTCAACTCTGGGGCGACGACAGATTGTTGTTGGATTCAGAACTAGTTTMATGCCAACAAAGAATAACTATATGTGAGGACATCAAGTTGTTCCTCAGCTCCTGTTAGCTTCACTTTGGATTTATCATACAGACCTGTAGAGAAGGATCATTCTTTGCAATGAAATAATTACTTCCTGCTACTTGTAATCATTGTTTAAATTAGTGGGCTGAGTGTTGGTTACAACCTAGAATACAGTTTGAAAACTGGCTTCCTGGCTACTTAAACACAGAATTCAGATGCTTTAGCTGAAAATTGAAAGAGATAGAAAAAAAAAGAACTGAAAAAAAAAGAGATAATTCGAACTCATTGAAATGGGGTTTTATGGAACAGTTGTGAACAGTTATTATCTTACCTGTTGTAGATGGATCCTTGGATGTTCTAACTTTAGAGAAATGAGTTTAATTAAGACTGAACTGAGGCCTCATGGCTAGAAAAGCCACGGTCAAAGTGAGTTGCTGCTGCTTGAAACAACTACAATTAAACAACACCTTATAAATATTTACGTTCTTTATATTCTTGAAATACCGGCAAYGGAAATGCTACAACTAAGCTCACCTCAAAAACTACCCCTTTAAGGTCTTTACTGCTACAGGAACTGTGAGACAGTTTTAGGAGGCTCTCATCAACCTGTGTGAGTGCATTTTACACCACAGCTTTTCTCTCATGAAATAAGACAAAAATACGACGAGGCATTTTTGAAAGATTTCAAGGAGTCAACATTGGATGTTGAGTTGTTTTTTTTTTTAAATAAATGTTCATCCTTTTCTGCAGAGTGACACGAGAACACAGAGAGAACCTCGCCAAGCTGGCCAAACAGTTGGCCAACAAGGCTAAAGACTCCCTGAGGCATGTGCGCTCGAATGCTRTCAGCCAGGTGAAAAAGGCTAAAGAGGGAAACTCTGAAGACACGTTACGGCTCATAGAAAAACAGGTAGGACTCCTGTCTAAGTTTGAAGTATGGGAATGACAAAAACATGTTTTTTTCCTTCTAAAATATAAATATTTTTACTACATAGATTCAACAGATGGCAGACAATGTAACAGTGGACATCGACAAACAGCTTGCAGCCAAAACCAAGGCGTTATTAGGCTGACAGGACTGATCTGAAGGTCTTCACTTTGATGTTTCTGCACTGATTTGAGGATCTATCCAACAAACAGCATCGTGTTTAATAATTGGCAATGAGTGGATCAAGTCAATGAGGTACTTTCTGACTTACACGCAGAAACACTTTGGTGTTGCCACTCTTTTTTTTTGGGACCCCCCTCCCCCTCTGACAGAAGCTGAGCCTTTTGTTCCAGACCACATTGTTGGTACTCATCGCCGCTGTGAGTTATCTGTGTCCGGCTGCGTTAAGTGCACGATCCAGAAACGACGACGACACTCCCTGTCACCTCCCTCCTCCTGTTTTACTCTTCCCGTCCTCAAACTGTGGAAAAATATAAAAAAGTGGTAGGAGGGGGGGACGGATGGACTTTTAATGGGATTTGTGGGCCTCCTCCTAATCAAACCCCCTCACCACAAGGTTTGTCTGTTTATACAAAGCAAGCGCGCCCCGTCCGAATGTAAACCGGCTGCGGGTTTTTCTTGGTGGCAAAACAGAGACTTCCAGGTCGTCTGAGCAGACACGGTTAGCGTGCTGCCAAACATTTGTTTCGCATTGATTCCAAAGTGTATTATAAATGCATTCGGGGGGGGGGGG